TCTTCCTTTACTTATTATAATGCTGAAACAGCAGTACAGGTTGTTGACGGTTTTCAGTGGTCTGCAAGGGCATTTATGACCACATAATTGTAAGCTAGCTGTTACAAAGCCATAAAAGAAAAGAAATACAGTTCATTAACTAGCTATTACATAGTTTTGCTTACTAATCTTGCTCTATGTTTATAAGGATTTCAGTTTTTACCTTTGTGCAAAGCTTTGGGAGTTTGAGGGCCAAAGAAACCATGTCAGGAAGAAGGGAACTAAACACAGATGTGTGCGCTCTGCCTCTTCCATTACCTGCACAAGAACAAACACAAAAGCAAACTGTTAATATTTTTAAAATCTTCAAACAGCCAAACATGTTTTCAAAGGATAGGTGTAGGCAACAGCAGAATATGATTGTTTATGGGAATATGAACTGTTTATAAAGAAATTTTGTCTAATTTCTGAAATCAGTTAAAACAAACTTATAACTATCAAAAACAGTGCCACGTTCCACTTAAATCTAAAGTAAAACAAAACAATTGAATATACAGATCTTCCCAAAAAATAATTAAAGTGTCCACATCAAATCCGTGATTATCTATAGTCATTGTCGAGTGATCCGCTGTTCATCTCTTGTGATTTTGTCAAACCAACATTTGTGCAACTCCACCAGTTGTGCTTTCACTATATATATATATATATATATATATATATATATATATATATATATATATATATATATATATAGTCAAGTAAAATAATAAAAACAGTGCTTTATCCCTATAAAAATGCATTTAATATAAGCTGTATTCCACTCACGTGTATATATAATAAAATGCTTTACACAAAGATCAATTGTTCCAAATAGCCGCTAGCGATTCTAGTTTGCACAGCATAGTCCAAATAAAGGGACGCATGCTTTATATATATATATATATATATATATATTTTTTCCTTTTTCAAGTCTGCCTCAAAAGCCTCTAATGCATATTCAGCCGTCTGTGTGATGCAGTGGTGTGCACTAGGTGGAGGTGACCTTTGGTGAGCACCAGAGGACTGACTTGAAAGACTCGGCTTGGGTTTGTGCGGGGAAATGCAGAAGGGGTCTGGTTTCTTGTACATGATATATATATATATAGATATATAGAGATATAAATATATATATATATATATATATATATATATATATATATATATATAGTGAGAGCACAACTGGTGGAGGTGCACAAGTGTTGGTTTGATAAAATCACTAGAGGTGAACAGAGGATCACTCGATTGCTACACTACACTGACTATAAAGAATCACGGATTTGATATGGACACTTGGAATTATTTGTATATTCAGTTGTTTGTTTTACTTTAGATTTAAGTGGAGCGCGGCACTGTTTTGGATATTTATAAGTATTTGCACATTCGTATGGGTATGTGTAAGGTGCGAGCGATCTGCTAATATTTACACAGTATAAATATATATATTTATTTTGGTACTTTATATTTGAAGTAGCAGCTCAAAAGATTTTAACTTTATATGGCTAAAACAAAATTGTGTTTGATCAAGCAATCGGATGGTGTCCTCCACTTTGCTGTATTGTAAACAGAAAACCTAACTGGTTACTATGTAACTACACAGAGGGGTTGATTTCAGCTTGTTCAAATTAAGCTTTGACAATAAAACCTGGAAGCTGATTAAATTCTATGCAGAGCTGCACCAGATTTTGCACACTCCAGTTTTAGTAAATCAACCTCATCAAGTATCTGGCCTTAGACACTTTCATAAATAAGATCCATGCACACAGTAGTCCACTTGGCTGTTTTGTGACCTAGGCCAACTGGTTATAACAGTCATGCAAATCTATACGCCATATTAATGGTTATTTAACTTGCACAGAGCATGGTATTTAGTGCTTATGAGTGCAGGAGAAGCAAAGACTGACTCATTTGAATTATGTCATATCATATTGGGAGCAGCAGAGAGGAAGACTGACTTCCATTCCAGTATTTCCAAATAGGCTATCTTCTTTTGCATACCCATCATAAAAAGGAGGGGCCTACAGAGTAATATCCAAGTCTTTAGCTTCTACGCAAGTATGTTCCTCCAGCATGTCACTTTTATAGTGTGTGTTGGAACTGACCTCTCTGATGAAAAGCCAAGCTGCAAGGCTGAGAATACAGTCTTACTTATCTATATAGGATGAATAAGCCTTCATACACAAAAGCAAAATACCAATGGTGCCACATTACTCAACAAGGGTACACTCTAATAGTGATGGTCTGAACACCCCCATGTTCAGTTCGCCAAAAGGAAAAAAAAGAAAGGAAAAATTCCTTTAAATGTCATGCCTGAGGGGTCCCCTTAAACCAGGGGGTTAAAATTTCAAGTCCAGACCTACTAGCAGGTCACAAAGCTTACTCTCCACCAGTTGCCCCACCCAACCTTGCCCAGGTCTGCCCCCAACCCCCGCCCCACCCCAACCACACCCCTTTAAGCTTATGAAATTACATTTTTCTGTAGAATAATTAGTCCAAAATATGTATATCCCAGCTCCCCTGTACTCCATTATAGTGATGACATGCATACAGTATGTATATGCACAACTGTACAACCTGCTACAGCAGGACAGACACTTCTTTTTTTTAAATGACAAAAAAAAAAAAAAAAAAAAGCGTGGGGACCCCCCTAATCCATTTAGGTCTGTTAGGAAGGTTAAGAGGGACCCCACAGTAAAAACTTCAAAAAATGTTTATCTGCAGTCTTCTCTACATCCCTTGAAAGTCCAGAATTTATAAAGCTGGTCTGAATTCAGAAAAAAGGGGGCGGGAAGCTAAAGTTAGACTCTGCGGAACTTAGTGAAGAGAGCTCTGAGAGCTAATTAACCACTTGGCACCGGCATCACCCGACCCTTTAGGGGCTTTGTGATGCCGGGAGGCAGGATTTAGGGTCAGGTGACAGTAGTGATTGGCTGTTCCAGTGGTCTCATGATCGGAAAGCTCCTGAACGCAAGTAGCGATCAGGACCTCTCCATGAGGCACCGGTAAATGTGCTGGGAGCACACAGCGCGCCCAGCCGTTGCATATTTGTGTACGGTCGGTGCCAAGGAGTTAAAGGGAAGGGACAGATCTCTCCCCCCTCCACACAGGAACAGGCTGAGGCTGTCAATCTGCTAAAGGTCCCTACCCTGTCACCATTTTTCAGTTGGTGTCAAGAAAACGTTTCAGAAGTGATTCATGCTGATAGCAAAAGGAACAAAGCAGTCAGAAATGCTCTTATTTGAGACATGTGCACACTACAGAGGGATATGCTTTGTTCGTTTTTCATATTTACAACCACTTGCAACTTTGGCATGTAATAGCATTCTTTTTCCCCACACTGCTTCAAATGACTGGAAGAAAACCTAAGACAACTGAGTTCCAAATAACAAACAATTTAATTTAAAAAAAAAAAAAAAAAAAAACTGTCAGCCTAACCATAATCACTATAAACTAGCCAGAAACAACCTCCACCCCATGGCCAGAAACCTAAGATGAAAAACATTGTGCTGGTCTTCTATGTGCTCGTCAAATTTCTTTTTTTTTTTTTTTTCATAAAGAACAATTACAATATCCTAACTGCAGCAACCTGGTAATGTACAGCTACCATTTAACTGAACAGGTTTTTCAGTCAATTATTGCACAAATGAACGTTATAAATATTGCCCCCCTCCCAAAAAAAAAAAAAAAAAAAAATCAATTCAAAAGGATCCATGAAAAATTAAATATTGAAACATTGAATATACTGAACCACACAGCATTGCTAGCTGCAGGATAAGTAATAGCTTGTATGACTGGGTCCTGACATCAAGCTTTTGTATGTGACATATGAATAGGAGGCTGTCATGCTTTATTGCAAGTGTACAGCATTCATCAAAATATATAGTGACCCTGGCTACAGAAAGAAGCCCTCTTAAGGCCTTGTTACAGAAATATCTATGCCAAATGATACAAGGCAAAGATAACAGTTAAAGCTGCTATTTTGTAATTGTAAATGCGACTCACAAAACAAATTAAAAGAATGTCACTGATGTCTAGAGGATTGCTATTCTGCTAAAACAGAAATAATCAAAAGGTTTCTCACCAATTAGGTCAGGATGATGCAGCACAGAAGTGCCTTGACACAGCTACATAGCTTTTGCATATATTTCCAAAAGGTATGTATCAAATTTTTACTAGCAATAAAATTAGGTGCTTTGTGCTGACCAGTAGGATAAGTAGAAAGGTTATGCTCATTGTGCTGTGCTCTTGGTCTTCTGTGTCCAGTTATACAAGATTGAAGGGACCACTCAGCAGTAGTAGGACCTCAAAACATAAGTATATCAGATATATGCACATGGCATCATTACACCGTATCTAACTGAAGGAGATGTGTAATCAGATTTTACCAGTCTATCCAATTTAGTAACCAGCAGGTGTTATACATACACAATATATATATATATATATATATATATATATATATATATATATATATATATATATATATATATATATATATATATTTATATATATATATATATATTTTTTTTTTTTCCCATATATATTCTAAAGAATATTATACAAATCAAAGCAGAACTACACTGCATCTGAGCACCTCACCACAAACCAAACACGCTATTTAATTAATTTTAATATTCAAAAGCACTCCCCCATCATTTCATGTCTCTATGCTTTATTTTGCTTAGAAATCACTTTGAAAAACATCCCTCTAGCATTTCTGCAGTGGCCATATTAACCACTTGCCTACCGGGCACTTATACCCCCTTCCTTACCAGGCCAATTTTCAGCTTTCAGCGCTGCTGCACTTTGATTGACAATTGCGCGGTCATGCAACATTGTACCCATATGAAATTTTGATCCTTTTTTCCTCACAAATAGAGCTTTCTTTTGGTGGTATTTACTCCCCGCTGGGGGCGAGCAAAAAAAAAAAAAAAAGTTTCTTTGTTTCTATTATAAAATTTTTCAAACAGGCATTTTTTCTCCTTCACTGATGTGCGTTGATGAGGCAGCACTGATGGGCACTGATAGGCGGCACTGATAGGCAGCACTAAAGGGCACTGATAGGCAGCACTAATGAGGTGTCACGGATAGGCGGCACTGATAGACAGCACTAATGAGGTGTCACGGATAGGCGGCACTGATAGGTGACACTGATGATGGGTACTGATAGACGGCACTGACTAGCATCACTGCTGGGCACTGACTGGCGGCACTGACTGGCACAACCCCTGGGCACTGACTGGCAGCACTGCTGGGCTGCACTGGTGGGTGGCACAGGTGGGTGGCACAGGTGGGTGGCACTGCTGGGCACATGTAGGTGGCACTTCTGGGCACAGGTAGGTGGCACTGCAGAGTGGCACAGGTGGGTGCACTGCTGGGCACAGGTGGGTGCACTGGCACAGGTGGGCGGAGCTAGTGGGCGCACTGCTGGGCACAGGTGGGCGGAACTTGCGGGTGGCACTGCTGGGCACCGATCATCAGGGCACTGATCATCAGTGCCCTGATGATCGGTGCCGATCCCCGCTCTGACAACTGCCGGTTCTCGGCAGTACTTTCCTCAAGATCTGACAGCGTGAGGAAAGTGCAGCCGAGAACCGGCACTTGCATTTCCCTCTGATCAGCGTGTCATTGGACACCGCTGATCAGGTGGTAAAAGGCCGCTGTGATTGGCCTTTTACCACATCACGTGATCAGCTGTGTCCGTAGGACACAGCGATCACGGAGATCGCCGGGGGTGTGCGTTCTGGGAGGACGTCATATGACGTCCACCCAGAACTGGCCGGCCGCAGTGAAGCCGTCATTCGGCTATCTGCGGTCGGCAGGTAGTTAACCACTTGCCTACCGGGCACTTTCATCCCCTTCTTGCCCAGGCCGATTTTCAGCTTTCAGTGTTGTTGCACTTTGAATGACAATTGTGTGGTCATGCAACACTGTACCCAAATGAAATGTTTATCATTTTTTTCCACACAAATAGAGCTTTCTTTTGGTGGTATTTACTCGCCACTGGGGTTTTTATTTTATGAATTATAAACAAACAAAAAAATAAACTATCTGAAAAAAAAAAAAAAGTTGGTCTTTGTTTCTATTATAAAATTTAGTAAACAGGCAATTTTTCTCCTTCACTGATGTGCATTGATGAGGCTGCACTGATAAGCGTCACTGATGGGAGTCACTAATAGCACTGACGGCGGCACTGATAATCCGTGACCTGATTATCAGTGCAGATCTCTCCTGTCACAGTTGCGGTTATCGGCAGTACTTTCCTCACACTGACAGTGTGAGGAAAGTGCTGCCGATAACCAGCAACTGTATTTACATTGTGAGCTGCTGTGTCATTGGACACAGCTGATCATGTGGTAAAGGGCCGCTGTGATTGGCCTTCTGCCCAATTATGTGATCAGCTGTATCCCTAGGACACAGTGATGACCGACAGCGCGGGGTGCACGTTGCTGGGGGGGGGCGAGTTCAGAGATGACATCCATGGACACCCTCCCAGAACTGGCCAACCGCACTGTAGAAGTTTTTTGGCTATAGCATGGTTGGGAAGCGGTTAAGTAAGGGCAGATGCTTTTACTTCCTGGAATCTGCAATCCATCTCCCCTTAGCTCAGGTATATAAACAGGAGGCTGTGCTTAGCTGAGAAAGCCCCTCTTCCCCTCCTGAAGACTCCTGGGATGTATGATGTCATTTGCCTAGGCAGGGGAGCCAAAAAGTAACTGAAGAAATGTAAAAAAAGTTTAAACCAAGTAAATATTATATACAGTACTTTCCTATTTACTAATATTAACATTAGTTATATTAATATACTAGCATAAGTATTAAAAATAGTCAATGTTGATTGAGAGAGTGAAGTTCTGCTTAAATTATTTAGCATTTGATATCTTTGGGTCACTTGTACTATAAACAGAGTTCAAGGATTCAAGTACAACAATAAAGATTGGACAATTACAATAATGAACATAACCTTCAGGTTATGTACACTCAGCATTCCAGTCTGAATGTGAGCTGTAGTAATGCCTAAAATAACCAATCCTGAAAGCTGACTGCATGCTTATGACAGCAGTTCCTTAATAAAAGGGAGTGTTTTGAGGATTTTAATGGTGAACCAAACTGCACTGTGTGTAATAGCTAGTAGTTTATTGATAACAGGCATATTTTTCATATATGCCTAATGTTTTAAAACCCTACACACACACACACACACACACACACACCTTAAGAAATATCTGAAGGATAACTGTACCTTTAAGGAAGCAAAAAATGTCTATCACTGTATTAACAGAGGCTGTAATAAATATTGCCATAAGTAATGACACTGTGTCAACGTACACTGCTCCTCTGAAGGCAACGATCAAGCTTACTTGACAGTCTTAAACAAGATGAGGAGACGGCACTGGCCACTACTAAAAAAAAAAAAAAAAACCCTCTGCTTGACAGCTCATCAAATCATACAAAACTAACACAAGACGCATGATCCCGGACAGACCTATCCATCACATCACAAGAAGGAATAATCAAGATTGAAAATGCCGACTGCATGCAGAAAAAAAAAAAATAAGTTTAACATCTTTTCAGTGTCAAGATATTTTATTTTAATCCCTCTACTTCTTGACTGAGTTAGAATAATTTCTTTCAAAATATTAATGTACCCTTCAGCCACTAAGCAGAGATTCTGAATACTAGTTTTTACAGATGAAGGATTTGGATGTGCTTCTTAAACATACTTAAGACAATAGGTTATTTTGATGCCCACGCTAGTTTATGAATAACAGAAAATATCCTTCCAAAAAGGCTAGCTCCATCCCTATTTACAATGTAACATGTTGCTAAGCAAACAACCCCACATCCCAAGATTCACCCCCCTTGTGAAATTGTGTGGGGGTTATTCTCCCTCGAAGCAGACATTTTTTAAATCCAAGCAGCTGTGTGGGGCTACGCCTGCACAGACTTTGAATTCATTCACAGGTACCTGTGAAGGAATTACCATTGCGGCAGATGGCCTTGTAGTTCTCAATGGGATCAAGTGCGGAGATCACTACACTCCTAGTCCATTGATACTTCCTCCAGCCCTGCAACTGAAATCCTGTACCTAGGTATGGACACAGAGCTAGAGGTCTGCAGGATATTAACTTTGCAAAGCTAGTTGCAGTGCTTTGCTTTGCAGGCTCCTGTGAAAAAACAAACAAACATTTGTTTCCTGCAAAAAAAAAAAACTATTTGCATTTATTAGGTTTGTAAAAGTGGTCTTAGCCTTTAACAAATGCAATCAGAAAATGCGCGACTTCTAAATTAATGATATTATATGATTTATGAAGTGATTTGAAGATGGGTAGTAATGGTAATTTCTTAATCCATACCCAATCTTTCAATGTTTCAGTTTCCTTCCTGCTGCTTCTGATTTCTAGTCTCAGATTTGGAGTGAAATTTGGTAATGTCACTACTGTGCTGATCACAGCGGTCCTTGCTGGAGGCTCTGACATCGGGAAGTGAAGCCCTGCGTCTACCAAGATGGTTGCTTCCACACAGACAGACACAGTATAGAACAAGCCATGGTAAATATTCAGCTGCAGGAAGACCAAATGGGAATAATACTGGTGACTAGGTACTTTAAGCTTTGCCCAACAAAAGGCAGGCAGAAGAAAAGGGTTACTAAACCCAGGATCCTGCTTTCACTAAATCTGGTCTCCAACAGTACACAGAACATGAAAGTTCAATTATTTTAATAAATATAAACTGCTGAATACCTTCTCTCATCAGCAGTTAAAGCAGTCTTATGGCTTCTACTAGTGTTCAGCAGTCTTGTGGCTTCTACCAGTGTTCAGCCAAAGCACTAGCTAAAGCTTGTAGGAATTTTATGTTCTAGGAGGATGCAAAACCCCTGACCTCTGTCTGGACAGTGCCGATTGGCCCTGTGCTGATCACATGCACTCTCCCAAGAAATAAAATAATCTAGCAATACACACAAAACTGAGCATGTGCAAAATGCCTACCATTCCGTCTGTCTTATTAGGAGATAAAGAGGTGGTCACTTAAACAAGAGGAGAAACAGAGCAATCAGGATTAAACTGCCTTTTTACACAATGCAGAGGATTAACCCCTTAGGTTCCATAGTGAGTATAACAAGCATGCTTTACTGCATATACAGACTGATTTTACGGTTGTGGGTTTAGTAACACTTTAAAGATATTAATTTATTCCAGCCATTGAAATGAACGAACACTCAAGCACTAAATGCTCCTAGCGTTTGGGTGTGTTTGTCTATTTATCTTTATTTATTACAGGTACTTGTACAGCACCGTCAATTTACACAGCACTTCACACATTTTATATTCACAGCAGTCCCTGCCCTCAAGGAGATTACAATCAAAAGGTCCCCAACTCAAATGCATACACATTAGGGCCAATTTATACAGGAGCTTATTAAACTACCAGAAAGTCTTTAGAGTGTGGAAGGAAAGTGGAGTACCCAAAGGAACCCCACACAGGCACAGGGAAAACATGCTAACTCCAGGCAGGTGGTGCCATGGTTTGTATTTCAAACAACAACCTTAGTGCTGCTATGGAGAAGTGCTAACCACTTAGCCACTACTGTGTGTTTAGGCGTTTTTTTTTCTGCACATATGTTCCTTAATTTTGGTACACATTCACATTTATGCCCCTAAACACTTGTGCGCGAGGACACAGACGAACATAGATGAGCATTTAGGGGTAGAAATAAAAAACAAAAAAAAAAAAAAAGTCAAATTCCTGTAAAATGGGTGTTTGACAGCTACAGTGTGCATGAGGCCCAAATATTATGTTCCGCGCTGGTCTCCCATTCCACCTCTAACCACTTTTACAGTTTGCCCACGTGTCAGACTGAGGTGTACAGATCCTACTGATGACAGGATTAACACATTGCTATGGGCTAAATGAAGACTCCCTGTACAGCCCCCTTTCTGGAGCTGCAGTCAATCAAGCATGACAGGGTGGTGTAGAAGACATGGGCAGACAGGAAAGATATGTTCCCACATTAAGAGATTACAGAGACAGTGTGCATTGGCATGGCATTCTGTAATCCCACGGAAGGAGTGTGCAATTGGATAACAATACTGCAGTCTGGGGGCAGAGCCTTAGCGGTGTCTACAAGAGGCTTGCTCTAAAATATTGTTCCTGACAGGAGAATCAAGTAAACAATGAAGCACATTATGAAAAAAGTTAAACTGAGAAATCTATGAACATGGATGCATGCGTACACAGACACCTGCATTGAGGTTTAGGGTCTAAACACAATACATTTTGGAGATCTTTACAATTAAATCATTCGTAAGACCTCATCTGGAATATGCTGTTCCGTTTTGGGCACCAATTCACAAAAAGAACATTA